CAAAGTTGTGCAATTATCACATTAGAAGTCATCATTTAACCTTTTGTAGTGTGGCAGTTTGTAAATGTGTCTGTATTAATTTTTAAATGCCACCACATTGATGATTATATTGCTAAAGGTCAGAGAAATGCGATGAGGAAGGCTGAGATTTTAGGGGAATGAGTGGCTGCAAGATGACAGGTAGAAGTGCAAAAGATTGAAACGCAGATATTAGATTTGATGTCTTAGTAATGGATAGTGAGATGTAAGGAATGGTGAGCACAAGTGAAGTCGTATGGAAGTAGAGTGAGACAAAGGTAGTGGAGCCCATGTGTGGGCCTGCTACTGTAAAGATTCTGTTGTGAAGCTGAAGTCTGGAGGAAGGAGGCGAGAGCGTGACAGACGGGGGAGAATGAGAAAGAAAAAAGATGATAATTAAAGGGAGAGGACACTGAGAAGGATTGTTAGGAAAAAGAAAATGCTGCACACTTTGGCTGTGTGCTGTGTGGTGGCATCTTTTCACCCCTCCTCACACCCACTCTGCTTTGTGCGTCCTCTCAACCCAAAAAATCTGCAGGCAGTGTTGATGAAACAATTGAGGTTAATCTTTTAAGTAACTAGGTTTACATTTGGTTTTACGAAATCGCACAAAAGTTTGGCACAGTGTGCTGTTATGATATATACAAGGATGCTTTTATGAAGGACAAAAATAACCCTAATGTTTAATATTTAGACAATTGATCATGTGGTAAGTCTCCTTTTCAAAAAGGGTTAAGTAACCAAGCTCATCATGTGATTCTTCTCATCGCATTTGCTTTAAAGGAAATATAGCAACAAAAAAACAGATTTAACCTGCAATTGATGAGGAGGCAAAGGGAACAGCGAGCGTAGATGGAGAGATTTAGCACATTTGTATTTTCTCAGCTGACTTCATCTACTCAAATGTCCTGAGTGACAAGAACACATTGATTTTCTCCAGGGTTGGTGTTGTAATAGAGAGACCAAAACAGTAACGTGACGGGAGCTGAATGAGTTGCACAGCTGGCTGGTCTTCTCCTTGCCCAGTCTATCACTTCCTGTGTCCTCTCATCTGCCTCAGTGCTCCCCAGTTGTGTAATTACTGTGTCTTAATAGCCCCTCACCATGTCCTCCTCCTCCATCAGCTGCTCCCTCATTCTGTCAGTCAGGTCTTCAGTCGCTGTCAGCATTGTGATATATATGAACTTGTACATGTGATCTTACCTTGAATTAAATTTGAATCAGTGTTGGCGAGTTTTAAGCTCATATGTTGGCTCTTGCTGTAGTAGCTCTGGTGACTGATGGATTCAGTTGAATTTACACTCACAATAAAGCCCTCATTACATAAAAAAGGAGAAAAAAACACTTTAAGGCACTGATCTTCCCAGTGGCTGCTCATACTGTTAATGGTGCATGTCCTGTGAGTGACAACATGGGAGCACGTCAAAAGCACGACGGGGCTCTTTTAAGTGGATTTGTGCATTGCTGTACATTTGTCTGGTGTAGTTGGAATTTAAAACAGCAGGGGAACTAAGAAGGGGGGGGAAAAGAAATTTTAGACTGACCTCTCTTTTTCAAAGACCTGTTTGAAAAGCTTTTGTAGAGACTTGTCTTATTCTTACTGGGATTTTGAGATGCTTGTTTGTTTGAAGTCATCCAGCTTCTCAGACATCTGCCTCCCTTATCATAGACTCTAATAACTCAGCTGCTAACCTACTTTATTCACCACAGTTGCATATCACTTCTTTTTCCCTGTTTTCCCCCCTCTTAATTGACAAGGTTTTGAGATATCCATCCCTGAGATTGATGTTACTGTTGGAAAAACAATTGTGGAGTTTAATGGAACTCTATCTTTCTTCCTCAAGGTGTTGAAATCCACATTAATCAATTTAAAGGCGACTGAAAAATATTGTACTTTAGTTACACACTTCTTCTTTGTTAAAACTTTGGTTCTGGTTCATAAAACCTGTGCAGATTTACATCTGATACTGATTTATGAATAAATGTTATGATAATATCATATAGGTTATTTTTTATAAATGTCAGTCCATCAATAAAGAATTTCAAAACCAAATCAGTGAAGTTGACAGTAACAATAGACATCAATACAACGTCTTAAAGCAGGATTTTACATGTTTTTACGGGCATTTATAACAAGCAATATCCATCCATCCATCCATTATCGATACTGCTTGTTCCCTAATGGGGTCGCGGGGGGAACTGGAGCCTATTCCAGTGGTGAATGGGCGAGAGGCGGGGTACACTCTGGATAGTACAAGCAATATAGATCAATAAAATCATGATAATAATTAAAAGCTTGATTAAATTAATAAAACACTTTCATTCACGCTGGAATTTTTAATCGTATGTACCACCATCATGGTATTTAGTGTTTGAGTTTGTAAATGTGTAAACAGAAAAAAGGTGATGCTGTAGTGCAGACAAAGTGAAGTCCAGACTAAAAGGCATGGATCGGTTTTTGGATGTGCATATGTGTGGTTATGTCAGAGAAAGCACATATTCTCAATGGATTTTATCCAGCTGTATTGTGTTCATAAATATAGTTGAATTCTTAGTATTCTTTTTTACAGCCGACAGATTTTCAGACATTCTTTGGCTTGGACTGAAGGAAACCAAATAATTTGTCATTATATCAAGATGCATGAGGAAATCTGTTTTAAAATAGAAACACAAAAAAACAATAAAGTACTTTGCACATACTGCAAGTCCCCTTCTCTAATTGAGCTTTCTCACACCACTCATCTCTTGCTTGTTTTCACATAAACCTTGAGACGAGTGTACACTACACCCCACTCTCTCTATTAAATCTGACTGCCACACATCAATACAAGTGCTCAGTGTCTGTGTATTATACTTTCACAGCTTTCAGTAATTGATGTGTTGTAATGTTTCTTCACCTTTTGTGTCTTTCTGATTGGTCTAGCCTGCTCACTATGTCTCTATGCACTCTTGAACCATGTTTCCTCTCTATCCTTCTTGGTACATTGGATATGCTGGTACTTTTTTCTTTGTGAATAGACTTCCTGTTGGCATGATGCCTAGAACAACTCTCTAATCTAATAAACAGCATAATCAGGCCACTGTACACTGTGCACTGGGTTTGGGGCATTTCGCCCAAACATAAGCCCCGGAGGCAAAGTGCTTTGATGGGTTACAGTTTAATGAGGGATGGATTGCGCATTCTCTCTGTTTTTTTCCCCATCTGTTGTGTATTATCAGTGTGTCAGCTCCGATGTGAATGTATATTTGTGCATCTGGCTCGGAACATCTGTTGCGTGTGGACAGTCGGGTCTGTAGGCTGAGTCAAGTGTGGAGCGTTCAAGGCCCCTTTTTGGCCCAGCATGAGCTCAAGATCTGGGTGGGAGTTGAAGCCTTGGGATGCCGTCCTGTGCTCCTGACTACTCAATGTAAAAGCAGACCAAAGCCTGTCTCTCTCCGCAGGAGGTTGAGCATCCCTCTGTGGAGGCTGAACACTGCTGGAGCTCTCTGAGCTTATTCCCTGCTCGTCCTCCTCCTCTGCCTCCTTCTGCTGCAGCTTCTGCTTCAAATGCACTCAAGCGCCAATACAACAGTAAACTTTTTGGAACTGGACACTTTCTTTAAAGTCTAAATAAAGAGCCATAGCACATCCAGTACCATGTGCGTGACATAGATAACAGAGGATCCACACTATCTGTCCGTTAAATAAAAAATCCTGCACAGATAATATCAAACAATATCATTTGCATTGGAGTAAATAAAGCTTGTGTGGGTTCAGATAACATTTGTGTGATCACAGTGGCTCTGAATTTCTCTCGCTTATATTTGTGCCAACCGTCTCAGCAATTCTTGCTGAAGTCTGTCCTCTAAGTCGCTTTTTTCAGAAATTGTTCCGCCTCTGTTCATCTCCCATCTTTTCTGTGTGCCTTTCTGCTTCTTTCTTTGAGAGCAACAGGTGTAAAAGCTGTTTACGCTGACAAGTGCCATTCAAGAAACATTTTGTCACACACATTTTATATTTGTGCATCCAAAACTCAAGAAAGAACTTTGTTAGGTTTTCTGGGGAAAAAACAAAATAAATAGGATATGGTCCTTTCATAAGGATTTCTGCCAGTATTTCATCTTGACTTTGCAACCAACCCTATCATCACTTTAATTTATAAAAAAAAAAAAAATTCAAGGATTACATTCAGGATTTTGGAAGACAAAAAGTTACTGTCATTGGCCCCGTGTCATTACAACATTGATAAGCAAATGGATCCCAAAAGCCACTAATGGGAAACTGAATTAGTTTGACACTGGCTAGATTAATGAGTTGAAGCCACATGAGATCCCTGCTAATGTAGCAAATAGGATGAGATGTAATCAGAATTTTTTTTTGTCCAGGATTAATCATTGGCAAGATGATGGGGACCTTTTCGCTATTTGTTTCATGCTTGGTTTCCAGACTCAATGTGATTTATTTCCTGTTGATTTTTTATGATTTTTTTCAGAACTGATTATTGGGTATGCAGCCACAAAGTTGCAGGTGTATAAAAGAATCTGAAGAGAATTCATCTGATTATTGAATTGCTGCCCCACGATGGTTTTAAACTAATTTGACATATGTAGTCATCAATTAACTTTTTTTTTAGCTGTTTCCCCTCTGAACTAACATGTTACTGAGAATATCTGTGTGTAAAGGCAGAGGTGTGCAGCAGTCAAGTCAATTTTCGACCAGCCTCCAGGTCCTAATGAAATAATAACTCACTAATCACTTGAGCCGTGGTTCTAATTAGTAGTTGTTAGGTGCTCCTTGTTCCTAATCAGCTGACGGGTGGAGTGATGGCAGGGCGGTCACATTGTTTCCTTTAACCTTGAATTAGACCAGAAATTCACATAGTCTGGTAACTGCCAACATGTTTTTGTTTCTGGAAAGTTAACATTTACAGCATATCATGCTTTCTGATTTCATCTGCTAGCTTTGTTGGGTCGTAACCAAATATGTTTGGGTGTGTGCACAGGGAAAGGAGACGACAGAGGAAGAAGATGAAGTCGCCGTGGGCATGGATAAAGGCTTTATGGATGAATTCTTCGAACAGGTTTGTTTCTCCAGCAGTCTAGATTTCTCTTATTTATCACAGTTTTTCACACTTTAACGGGCTCAGAAAACAGTCATAACTTGCCGCCATGAATTACTCTAATGATGCTGGTTTGAATGGAATCCCTCATGCAGCTTGTCTTCTCTGAGGCTATTTGATTCATAACTATTGATGTTGTTGTAAGTGTGACATTGATCATTTTGTTCCTCAAGTTGAAAAGCCCTTTATTGATTCAACACCCAGCACCAGTATTCACTTTGTCCACTTCTGAATTACAACATCGGTAAATTCACCACAGACACTGCGTGCATCGAGCCTCTGCACAGCTGCATTTGGGAGTGTTTTCTCCTGCACATGCTGCGTGCATATGTGATGGGAGCCCGAACGGAATATCATCATGCCTCTCAGAGGCAGTGCCCCATTTCATATTAGCTGCAGTTGGTGTCTCCAGAGAGATGGAGGCCTGCTGTGAATCAGTAGTCATATGAAGTCAGGCGGACTTCACTTTGAAGCATATTTCACTTTTATGGGGGTTTTCCATTAGTACCTACTCAGCCCTACACAGTTCTACTGGCCTCGCTAAGACTTGGCTTAGATAGTTTTATATTTCGAAAGAGGTCCTAGATTTAATTTAAACACGTCATAAGCATGAGACAACTAAGAAAGACATTGTGGCATCAATATACCAACTAAACCTCTGTGTTGGACAGTGGTGGTGTTTTGTGATGGAGGCATTCACAACACTGATGATCAGAGAAATAATGAAATGTATTATTTATTATTGCCGCATTTTTAAATTAGGCAAGGTTCATGATAAGAAGACTCTTATCAAATCACATGCCAAGCAGAGTCAAACCGAGCATCACTGAGTGGCTACTAGTGTAGAATACCCGTCAATATAGTAACCTCTGAAATGCATTTGTAATGGACCTTGTGGATCGGCTCTCCTACCGTGAAGTTGCAATTAAAAATCTGAATAATTCACCCAATAAGAGATTTAACACGTTTTTTTTTTTTTGTGAAGTGGGATTGTTCTTTGATGGGTTTACATCACCATTGCAAAGGTAGCAACAAAGGTTGGTTGTGTGGGGTTGAATGCCATTTAGCAACATTTGTGAGTTATGAAAGAGGTCTGACCAACATCACTTTGATATATGGCTTTTCAAAGCAACATCACACAACTGACAAATCACCAAAGAGACTCAGTAATTTGGGATTTGCAGGTGCATCCATCAGAAGCTGAACAGGTACCACGCAGAGGCATGCAAAGCATCCATGGTTGTTAGAAATGAGTTAAGTAAGTAAAAGCTGTAGAGTGGGACATAGAGTAAGGGTATGGGAGGTTTTTCTGAAACGTTATTACATACCAAGATTCCTTTACTTATATGCTCCGTAGCAAATATGGATGTTTCAGCTCTTTCACAGAATCATCGTTCCTGCTGGTCAGGAAAGGTTAAGGACAGATTTCATCGTTTTAAAAAATGTGTAAATTATCTATTTTATTTGATTTATGAAAACCCCAAACTATCAAGAGCAAAACTGCATAGTGGTATCCTATTTCTTGTAAAGTGAAAAAAACATGGAAATTTAAAGAGTGTCTCTTCTTCTGTGAGACAAAAATAAAATTGGTGACATGGTAACTCCAAGTAACGTCAAGCAATGTGTTTTCTGTAATAGTAGTTACTATGGCAACATATTTGCATAGTCATTTTACATATCATTAAATTAACTGATTGATTGATTGGTTTTTTAATTATTATTTTCATAGTTGCAGGTCTGCATTATACTTCCTCTAGCTGAGGAATTATGTGTAACGTGAATGTTCTGATAACACGCCCAGGTCTTGAATATAGTGGAATAAAGAAACTCTTTTTCTTTTAACACATCTGGTCCCTGTCAGGGACACCGTAGCTCTATCTAGCACAGACCATTAGATATAAATTGGTGGCTGTGGTCCCGAGAAAATCCTATTATGTGATTTATGTGAATTGTTTTCTCTCCATATTTTGAACATTGCAGGGAAAAGTCCCAGAAATACAGAAACAATATGGCTTCCCATATTGCCATCATTGTGTCTACACCTTACATCCACTGTTATTACTGAGAGTTGAGATTTTAGAGCATTGACGGCTGTTAATGAAAGAAAAATAGGTTTGTCCAAAAGCAAACAGTTGTGAATTTTACACATTGTATTATAAAGTCCCATTGTATGTCTGTGATTAAGCCTATTTGTTTTTGCATGTCAATGAACTCCTCAAGACTGTCTCAAATAGATTTTTCTCCCCCATATATAACATTTGCATAAAGTCTGGTGAGAGCTGGAACATATGCTCTCAGTAATGCATGATTTTTTAAACTGTTTTCAAGTTCCGCTCTCTATTTGTTTCTTTGTCAAATTTCCAACTTTCTGATTATTCCCCAACTATTTCTCAACACAAGTGTGTCCCTGGGTGTGTTGTTTCTTCCAGATGGTCTTTTGGAGCAGATTAAGTTCTTCTTAAAAAAAGATAACAGATTTAGTTAACAAGCAATTACAGAAGTAATTCCAAGATACAATGACCCTGGCTTTTCGTGGAGGAAGGCTCACGATTGTGCAGTATTGTTAGAAGCAAAAGTGCAAGTGGTAAGGATGATAGCAATTGAAAAGAGCCCAGCACAAATATTCATGTTGAAATGATGAAGGTTGTGTCGTGGAGACGAGTGAATGGAGAAATATTAAGCAGAGCAGGTGTAAAGGAGGATAAACCGGTGTGATAGTCTGAGATGAAAGTTCAGATTGATGAAGTCACAGACAGATGTAACCTGTTGCTGCTCCAGCTGTTAGCAATGGTCTGCGGCAGCTGGGAGGGAGGGAGGGAGGGAGGGAGGGAAGGAGGGAGGGAGGGAGGTGATGCTTAGAATGTCATTCCTGGGTCTTTGTGGCAGATGATGCAAGGTTAAAATAAAAAATTGGAGTTTGTTACACTGCCTGGGTGACTTTTATGAAATGTGTAAAAGCAAAGGATCTATTTTCAATTTACTCTCAGTTGTGCAATTTGGAGAAAGGGGGGGGGGAAACTCAATTGATCCTGTCACAAGTTGAAGAAAATTCTTGGTTCTTGTGTGCTATTTGTTTAAGGCATACCAAAAGTGAATCGCACAGCAGACTGTTTCACTCTGCCTCTAATATGGTAATTACATCCTCAGTTCAGTCTCTGTCAACACCAGTCAGGTTAATCACTGGTGCTTTCTGCCTCAGTGCTGAGCACATCTAAAGCACCTCTTGGCCTGTCTCTTCATAGGTTGAAGAGATACGCGGCTTCATCGAGTCTCTGGCAGAGAAAGTTGAAGAGGTGAAGAGGAAGCACAGCGCCATCCTCGCCTCACCCAACCCTGATGAGAGTAAGGCTGTTGGTTCTCTTTCCGCATGTTAGATCCATTCAGATGTACATCTGTCAGGTTAAAAAATGTAATGTGCCACAGCTCTGAAAATACGGTGGTCTTTCTCCTTTTAGTCAACATATTATTCCGATACTCTGTTGCTGTCTGAACTTGATGAGCTAAATTTTTTTTATACAAAGCCATCTGATATGTCTGAGATATATTTTTTATTTCGTGGGACCCATTAAGAAATTAATCTGATAAGCAGTTCTGCCTTAAAAGTGCTGTGCAATGAAGGGCACTTCTTGTTGCCCTTTTTGGCTTCAATACAATACAATACTGGAAAAAGATGCCCTGGCATTTTCTAAAGAGTTATATAGAGCATTTATCATATATTATTATTATTATTATTGACAAATAACTCTATAAAAAATGCACCGTTTATTATATAAAGATTGAGATATGCCTTATCACCCCAAAACGTCTTATTTTATCCACAGTGCAGATAAGTCCTTCAGTTTAACAAACCAACATTTGAATCCTTTCTCTTAGAAATCCCTGTGAGCTTTAATCTTAGTTGATGTCCATTAAAGGTTTTATGGCAGCACAATAAAAAGTATTTTTCATCACTTCATCACTAGTTGAGTTTTAAAATCTGTCAATTGTCTAATATTGTCTAATGTACAATATCAGCGAAAGTGCCGACAGCAGATTGCAAAAGACAAAAAAATCATCTTTAAAAAGAAGCTAAGAACATAAAGAACAGTTTGTCAGAAAAGCAAAATGCTTGCCTTTGAATGGAGTCCATAATAGATGTCAAAGACCTTGAAGATGTTTAGAGCTGTCATTTCCACCTATCTGTTCTTTCAGTCCTTCTCGGGCATTTATGCTCTCACAGCGAAATCTTATACTCTTGTTTGTTGTTTTTATCCCATTTTCTGCTTTCCCCCATCCATTACTCTTCAGTTCGGTCTTTACCTCTTCGGCCGCTGTTACCATTTTCTGTCATATTTCTCATTTTCTATCATTCCTTTGCCCATTTCAGTCACTCTCATCCTTGCTTTTGTTCAATTGGTATTGGATACTTCACCCAGTCCCCCCCCCCATCCATCTGCTCCCCCATCTCTGCTCTCTCACACCTCACTCTCTCTCATTTATGTCTGGGCAGCGATCTACAGAGCAGGGGTGAGCGGGGGCTCATTCCGGTGACACTGCCAATCCCTCTACCCCCTGCCCTGATCCCGCATCTCCCACCTGCCTAAAAAAGCATTGATCTGCGTGCTGCAGCAGACACCAGATGAGTGCTTTAACAAGCCTGAGCGTGCCCATTACACACAGAGCAGAGAGGCAAAGAGGCAAGGTGCCACATTTTAGATACACATTCTCCAACAAGGTGTTTCCTTTGGTACTGCCAACAATGCTCAGTGTGTATCTATAAAAGTTTTTAAAAATGCACATCATGTAGCTGTTGATGAAAATGTCAGGGCCCTTCAATTCTGAGGGTAATTTTGCTCCTCGCATTCTGCCTCTTTCATTGGGGTCAGCGACAGCAGACTCGAATAATCCAGATAATACATCCAGGCATGTGTGGCTGCGCTCTTTCTTGGAAGGATAAAAACCATAGACTAAGATCTTGAACTGAATATTACATTCAGTTTGAAGACATAAATGAAATGATCACATTTCTGTCAGAATATCTCAAGATGCACATCAGTGAAATGTGCACACCAAAGGTCACTGTGAGTGTTTTTTTTCTCGCTGCTCACAATTTTCCCTTCTGGCGGTGAAGGGCTGAATAATGTTTATGGCAAGACACTGCTGTCTCGTTCATACACTTAAAAAGCAAAAGACAAAAAGAGAAAAACAAGGTTAAAGGTCAACAGCCAACACTAGATGCCCTGTGAGACTTTGCTGATATGCACAGGAAACCACAAAGCACCATCCCTATGGGCAGTAAGTAAAAAAACTGGACTTAAAAACAACATGCTTTGTTGCTTAAAGTCTACCAATCAGAAGGTCTTTGGTTTGACTTGAAACTATATTGTTACACTGAATAGTATCATGTTGCAGTGCAGTTCCACTGCTTTCTTTTTAGTATGTTTTACTCTCAAAGAGACCAGATTCACAAAATCTAGGTTTTTTTCTCTGATAAGATTGAAAGCCAGCAAAAAGACCCTAATATTGTTAATTTTATAAAAGATTATTTTATTATTTACTGAGGTAAAAAATTAAACAATCTTTTATAATATACCTGTAATAAAACTACCTATTTTGTGCCCAAAACAAGCTAATCTGAAATACTCAATTGAATTATGTACTATTGTTTCTGAATGAAAACGTAGAATTTTATTAGATTTCAGAAATGCATTCAAGTAGTTTCCCGGATATCTTTTTCAAGGTTGTGAAGCATTTGGTAAATTTACCTCTGAAATTAAGCTGATCTGTAAGGACCATGTTAATAAGCCCACTCATCATCACATTGTCTGTGTAATAGGGTGTTCACCCCTACGTTACACATTATTTCATATTGCAGTTTATCCCACTACTTAAATTAAGAAAAGCAGATTTCCAGCAGGGAATTTAAATTGATTCTGTGTGCACTTTTTAATCTTAGCGGGTGTATATTTATGTGAATCGTGCAACATGCAGAATGGTAGCTGAGTTTCAACACTGTGGATGGTTCATGTAATCATCAGGACCTAATGCATATTGAAACTGCGTTTCCTTGTAGGCGCATTCCTCTAATGTACAAAGGGAAGATACGAATAACACGGCTGAACGGGAAACATTGCATTATTTGTTTTTATCGTGTTGTTCATCACCCTCGTTCATTATTTCCTCTCATTATTTAGATCGATGAGGGAGCCCTTTTTGTGACTGCCTGTGATTGCTTTGTGTGAACCAGCATCAGCTTATGGATTCAGCTTCTCCCAGGAGAGGATGAGGTTCAAATGAAATTAACCACAACATTTTTAAAAGCGTTTGAACCTTTAAACATTTCTTTTAAACAGGAAAATTAGTCAGTAGATTTATAGTAATAAATTATTATTTTTTTGTAAGTTTTTTTTTTACTTCTGTTTTACCCAGCTGACACTTTTTTATCACCATAAAGGTGACATACATGTGTACATACTTACAATCTCTATGTTTGGTTTAAATCAAACACAAAAACCATCCTCTAGTCTTGTGTATATGTTATGTTTTTGACAAGCAGCATCACAAAAGCCTGGATGCAACACTAAGCAAGTAAACAACTTTATATTGATTTTTATCTTTGACCTTTCAAAAAATCTTGCAAACATTTCATTTTGAGGGTAAAGTCATGACAAACTAACACAAAGAAGCAGGACAGCTCTCTCAACTCCAAACACTTGTAAAAAGAAGAGCTTTGTGTTTCCTTTTCCATTGTAAAATATGCATCTTTGTCGTTTTGGCCTCCGACAGAACATAAAATCTGTCTTTTGGATCCAAAATAACCACCTTTTTAAAATATAGAGTTGAAAGTTTAGTAGCAACCACTCAGTATTTGACGTATCTCAGTCTCTAGTTGTAAAAATAATCTTCTTAAGGATCCCAAAAGTCTTCAGCTGCTTTAGAGATCCTGGTTTTAATTGCATGATGTAGAGCTATTTCTAGTTATAGTTGTTTCTTGAATTTATTTTTTATGTTTGGCCCGATGTCATCCAAACCTTTGAGATCTGTTAGATAAAGCTCTCATCCATCCTCGGCCAATACTTTAAAGTGTGTGATTTTTTTTTCCAAATCTGCATTTCTGTGTCTCCCTTATCACTCTTCATTTCCATTTCTTAAATAGATGAGGTTAAGGGGAAGTGCACACAGAGACAATTGGGGTGAAGGCCAGTAAGACAACTCATAGAGATAAATCCTTTTAGCTTCTCTCTGTCTTTTTAATGCCATTTGTCTGCATCCAGCGTAGGTGTACAGGGTCAACTCTGTGATCTAAATCACAGAGTCAGTTGTCAGGGGGCAGCGAACGGTTTCAAAGCGGCTGCAGCCTGTTACTCTGTCTTGAAAAATGTTGCAGGAAAAAAGAGGGGTTGTTAGACAGAAGGAGGTCATTAGCAAAGACATAATGAAGGAATAAGCTCTATGGAGAGTGGCACCCAAAATGAGATATCATTCCGGTTCTACATCCTGCAGTGTCTGAAATTGATAAATGTTTGTCTCAACCCATGTTTACAACTGAATGGAAGGTTTTCAAGCCTTCATCAGTTTTTCCAGCTCCACACTCATGTTAGATTATACGAAGTATATTTTTCTTCACAACATGCAATGATAACATAAAATGAAAGAGTTTTTAAAGTATTTTTCTTTTTTGATTTAAATAAAAGACTTATCTATTCCATGTACGTGTTATGACAAAACTGTGGAGGCTTTACCTCCTACGTGTAACAGTTGTCTTTTAAATGTCCAAATTTAAGTTCACTATTGGCTAAATAAATGTATCAAACACGACACACATCTTGATTTTCAACCACAAGGGCAACTTTGTTTTAAGAGATATCACATCACTCAAGATTTTCTATAAATACGATTTTCAACTCGTTCAACTCTTCAAAGCTATATGTATAGAATGTGTACAACCAAAAGGTTTTTGAGCAGTGTCCACGTTTAAGTCCATAATTAAGGCTTTGACTACTTGTAAAACGGCTGTGAAAAAGTGAGAGGGAGCCTCAGTGTTGGAACTCTTCGTATATCGTCGGGTAAACTTTACCTGCGCTATTGGTTTGTGGTTACTTGTGTTCCCACAGTGTCCCTGCAGCAAGGTAAATGTCAGTCATGTTTGAGGAATGAGCTCTGCCAACTCTGTCAGTCTGAAACAGACATCGGACTCTAGACGATCAATAAGACAAGTAAACACTCAAAAGACCGGTAAAACATTTACAGAGAAACCAAAGAGAGAAAGAGATACACTGTGAGATAAATGGATACAGCTTGGTCGGTGGAATGGCAGCGACTGGTGTGGAGTTAGAGGGGAGGAAACAGTCAGACGAGATTTT